CAGAAGTGCTACTTAGTAGCATAAACTCAGAGATCCCAAACTAATCCAAGCAGCAAACACTTGAACTATGCATGTTTATCTGCGTACGCATGCATGCATATATGTAATTTGCATCGAGACAAACAACTGGGCAGTAACCACTCATAATTACTAAAGGTAGAGAGAGACTCAGAGCAGTATATATTAATGAGATTCTTGGCAGGACTTTTAGTGCTAAGTAGTTCTTCTTCTTTTTTTTTAATTTTTTTTTTTCATCAACTATAGCAAATAGAATTTAGTGTTCCTAAATCCTAATATTTTCATGCCACACCTGCTTGTTTAGGAGCTGAGGTGGATTTGTGGACCATTAGCTTTATATGCGCTTCAACTATGCAAACAATTTTTTTTTCTTTTTTTCTTTTGCCAGACTTTTAGGATGTTGTTGGGAATATGAGGTCGCGTTCATTTGAATGGATCTATTAAATATAGTGTGAAGGAGTCAGGAGGAACGTTAGATAATTAGAGACTTGACTCTTGCTGCATGCGTGCTTTCTTCTTTCTTTGCAGAAGTTATAAAGACTAGTTAGACGGCAGGCACGTCAAGAGTTGTCAGTGAGTCAATTCTCAAACCTAATTTTTTGCTCCTCATGCTTTTGCAGCAATGCGCTAAACGTCCAGATATTCCTCAAGATGCATAGGTCCGATTATGCAGAGAGACAGTTGAGAGTAATGCAGCAGGTGGATGAGGATCACACACTAACTCAACTCACAAGTGCATGGTTCAATCTGGCAGTGGTACCTATATACCTTATCTTTTCTCTTTTTTTTCCTTCTTTTCCTTTTTTTTTTTTATCTTAATCTATGGAAAATTGCTGTGGTTTGTATTTACATCTGTCCTTGAACCAGGGTGGATCCAAGATACAGGAAGCATATCTTATCTTCCAAGATTTCTCTGAGAAATATCAGATGACCAGTTTGGTACTGAACGGGAAGGCTGTTTGCTGCATGCATATGGGAAACTTTGATGAAGCTGAAACACTGCTGCTTGAAGCACTCAACAAGGCAAGTATCTAGCTAACTGTTGACTTCGCTGTAGATCCAGATTTGTGTAGAGTTGTTTCACACGATATTCGACAGTAACAGATGATTATTTCCGTTTGTGTATGGAATTACATTCTGATTATATGCCTTGGACAAAGCAGGTGTTGTTGGATAGGTAAAGAATAGACGAGGCTGTTTTTATGCTGCAGTTTTATGCGTTTTAATCCCCGTGTGGCTTCCAGAGTTTCTCTTCCTGAAATTTTAATCTCTGTTCGGCGCTAACATGAGCTTTATAGTTAATTTCAGAGGTAATGTTGTGTATTATTTGTCTGTTTTACAGGACGCAAAGGATCCAGAAACTCTAGCCAATCTAGTTGTAAGCTGTCTTCACCTTGGCAAACCGCCCTCCCGTTTCCTCAGGTAAAAGTTAAACCTATCAAGCTGGCACCCACAACTTTATATTTTGGAACATAACAAACAAGTGATACTAACAGAATAACAGAAGACTCGTAAGCATCACATACTAGC